CTTTGAAAAAGGAACTCGTTCCCGTTACAGTTTAAAAAAATGGAACGTGTTGTTACATATACGTTACATTTGTATTTTGCTAATTACTATATTTAGTTTAATCACGCAGAGTTTTTTCGTTTTTTACCTATCCCATTAGTAGTCAACATACGAGTTTGTATGTTGTTATGGAAGGGCAACAGGAGAAGAAAACAAGCGGAAGCAGAGTTTCATTTGTTGATATATTCACCTTTAATAATCTCATCTTTTAACCATATTCATGTTTGTGGTGGGCGAATCCAGACGAGGCAACTTTACTGTTGCTCTATATTGCACGAGCGTTTTACAACAACCTCACACGTTTTAATCTAACAAAGTCCTGTGTTCGAACTTAACAACAGTTGCTTCTCGATGTTGCTGTCCGCAATACGAGCAAGTCGAGGAGAGGGTAGGGCTTTTGGAAGGTCAGTCTTAAAAACTACAAATACTTCTTTGTAAGGTTGACTTTGTTGTTCATTTTGAAGGTGAAGGGGACAAAAGAAGAAATAATGTCTTTTTTTTTTTTTTTGTATCTTTGAAGTGACCAATGTTCGGGATACAAGGGTGCGTTCGATGTCTGGCAGTCTGTGATCTTGTTGTAAGTGTAGGTCTCGTTATGGAAGTTCACAAGTGGCTGTAGTCGGTCTTAGATTTCTGGGTGTATGAGGATTCGTGGAACCAAAGAAAGTAGCTGAGCTTGAAACAGCCCTCTTTCTTTGTCTTTTCCGACGACTAAAACCCTTGCGTTTTGTACCGCAGTTTCGGGCACTCAAAAAAGAATCAATGTCCACCAGCTCTCCTGCACCCGAAACTGTTAGCAAGCGAGGACCACACGAAATAATCCACAAGATTAGTAGCCGAAAAGGCAACGAGATCCTGCACTTCGAAAATATATTGTTTTTGTACTTTCAAAATTTCTCTGTTCGATACAAAATAAAAATTACCCCACTGGACGAAAAAAAGGAACGCCGTTACTCGTTCCGTTCCAGTAAAAATGTAACGCGTTCCCGTACCAGTTCCAGCGATGCAAAATGGAACGGCGGCGTTCCTTCGTCCCTCCTAAAAGGAACGCGTTCCAGGAACGCCGCTCCTTGGAACGCCGTTTCGTACAACACTGCCGCTGACCCTCGTGACGCCAGTGGAGGCATGCCCTTGAAAATATAAAAAACTCGAACTTTTTGTTCTTGTTTTTGAGTGTATGTTAAGTTTTGACAAATGTATGTCACATTCGGCACTATGACACTGATGATGAATTGGCCATTTATTTACAAAAAGAACGAAATACGTAGCACGCGCACAGGCGTGACATTTGCACCGCAAACAGGAGCGTTAGCACAGCTGCCACCGGTATTATGGTTGGGGCCGTGGGACCGCCGGCTAACAAGAAACGCTTTGAGGGGCCATGACGCGTTACCGCGAGCTAGGTGTCTTCTGGACCCATGATGGCGTCTGCGCTCCCAAACGTAACAAGACATAAAAGTTTCGTCGGCAAAAAGGAACGGAATGCAATACTCTGAAAACCTATCAATGTTCGGCGTCAACTATTTCGTACTAAATTGCCAAGGCCAGAGCAACGCCGACAGCGCTGCAGCCCAGCGCTGCTGTGAAAGTGTGAAAGTACTTGGCTTTATCTTGCGTCCCTTTCGCACGCCCGCGCAACTGGCTTTCAGAGAATTGGAGTACTGTGCAAGCTACGCTGGCCTTGGTGACGTAGCATAAAATAGTCGACACCGAGATGGGTCCAAAAAGAAATTGTCGTGTGTAATCGGCGGGCGCGCGTAGACGTGGATAAGGCGGGCTCTCTTATCGCCGAGAGCGGTGTGGAGGCAGATAACACGCCCTTCGGCGTCATGTGCTTTTTATAGGGCGGGAGCACTGTGGATGCTAGGCTAGCCTTGGCAATGTAGCGCGAAATACTTGACACCTCTCTACCTCTACACGTCCCGTTTTATATTACTCCCGTCATAACAGCGACTGAACAAAAATGAGTTTAGCGGAATTCGGAATTCTCAGCTCTGGAGGGTGATTTTGAATTTAAGCTTTCGCCGCTTGCGTTAGGAATTTCGGGCACGTTGTCGAAATTATGCAAATGTTTGTATGTTGTCGAAACCACAGCAAGGCTGACTTGTTCTGAACTACATGCCGAAACAAAAACGGCGTCGTGACAGCAAGAAACAAAACTCGCTGGCTCCAGCCTTGGGAGTGCACTTTCTGTAGCTCTTTTAGTTCCAACCGACTAAACCAATTTATCGCAGCCAAAAAGAAAAAAAAAAAAATATATATATATATATAGAGAGAGAGAGAGAGAGAGAGAGAGATGAATTGTGACGTATTAGTCCTTGCGCCAAATTACCCAACCACCAATGAGAATATTGAAAACGTAGGTACACGCGCTTTCGTGCAGTTCGAGGTGGGATTTGGTGTCGCTCGCCCGGGGCCCCGGGCTCAGGCTGACTTCTATTCCCCTATCGCCGAGGTCTCGTTGTTTGAAGTGGAGGCAGGAGAAGAACGAACAGGGGTTCGTCCTACCACCTACATCTATTTGCATGGACGTAGGTGGTAGCTTAATGGCAAATGCGAAGTCGTGCGTTCCTTTCTAGTAGACCTTAGCGTTTTCTTGAGCCATTTTCATGTTCTAATCTCCTACCTCACGTGTAACACCTAGACGATCGAGCAACTCATAAGGATCGTTTAGTTCCCTCCCATCCCTTCCCACACTTCTCTCAATAGTCTAAAAGGAGGGCGAGGGATTCTCCCGTACACGAGCTCTACAGGTCGCTGGGAGCTGCGAGCCGCACTTGGTCCCCCGAAGAGCCACATAAGGCTCGCGAGCCGGGGTTTGGCCATCGCTGATATAGAAAGTTGCTTTGAAGTCCTTTAGAAGTACGCAACATGCCGAGATTCGAGGTGCTCCCAAAGTACTGGCATTATACTTGTCGGTAAGTACGTCTAAATGTTGCCAGGCTCAATAAAGGAAAGTGGTTGTTTTCTAGGAGGCAATAACAAGTATAAATATCTTGTTTCATTTGTCTGTTTGTTTTATAACAAAAAAGGCTAAGACACACATTTAATAGGTAAGAACAAACTTACGACGAGGTTTCTATAACCATGTAAATGTTTCCAATAAAATATAATCGACATATTTTTATTTGAAACCTACGCAGGGATCAAAATCTATCCGTGGATTGGGTCAAGTGGAAAGCTTTTACAAACTCGAGGTTTATCGTCGCCTTTGCGCGAAGCAGCCCTTTTCTAAGAAATGCTATCTTCAGGAAGTTTGCTTGGGACACGTACTGGGCGCACCTTTCGCTAAAGGTGTATTCTGAAATGCTTCTCCGCATTCCCTTGCTTGTTCCTACGACGTCTCTGTCTTCAGGGGTAAGCGAATAATAAAACCAGGAAACTGTTATGTGGGCCATTTGGAGGATTTGTTTCTCAAAAAAATATAAAAGGAAGTAAAGCGTAAATTCTCGTTTCGCTCCTATGTCAAGTGAAGCTCTCCAATAGCTTACAACAATGATCGATGAATTTATAAATGGAAAAGTCTTGAAAGCCATATATCCATCTCTGACACGAAAGATCCGAGTGACGACACACTCTAAAAACAAAAAATGGTCGTGAAAGAACTCTCAGGGGTTCTTCGGCTTGTCCATATTTTGAACCTGAAAAAAGGTTATTTTAAGCAGTCCCTTAAAGGGTTCTTCGTGAAAAAACGTGTACGAAGTTCTTTTAAGCTTCTTTTTTTTATTTACCGACACGCTGTGTACAAACAAGCCGGCGTTTGCCCACACCAGGTGTGGGCACTGCGCGTGCGCAGAAACCGAATTCGCGTGAAGCGTCTGCGCATGCGCAGTGCCGTCGACAGCGCCACCGCAGCTGCGTGACGTCAGGGCCGCGTGTTGGTTCATACGAAAGAGGTCTTTATCGCTCAAATGCCTTTCTAGTGCACCAGGGGCGATAGTGCTTGAGACGAAATTTCTTTACGAGATGAAAGAGTTCAAATTGGGGCGTCAAAAAAACTTTTAAAAACTTTTCTTTTTTTTTAGTGCAGGCAACAATTTTTTTCCGAATTCTTGCACTGTATGGTACGAAATCGTTCAGTTATACCAGCTCAGTAAACCTTGTGCGGTCCACAGCGGCAACGAGCAATATTAACATTGGAGGCACAGGAAGTTGAGATGACAAATATTGGGAATAAAAATTGCATGACGAAACCACTATTGTTGGTTGTCTATGAATTTCGATAGCATGAGACTCACGACGCAGCTTACTGTGAATTCGTCGGCGCAAACTTTGAATAAACACTTTATTTAATAATGGTTTACGCCGCAATCATTGACGTCAGAGCGACTGCAGCGCGCCACTTCGAAATTGAGTGATTGTTTCGTCTCTGTGTAATCATTTGATCTTCTGTATCTGTGTACTCGTTTAAGGTTCAAGGTGTTTCATCACCATCATTGACCATGTACCAACTAGCTCAACTGCTTGCTAGGACGACGTCGAGAACGATGTCCTACAGGACGACGTCAAAGAAGGCGTCTAGGACGATCTTTCAGACGACTACATGGTCGACCTCTAGAGCGACGTCGAGGACGACGTCCGCATACGCGCGGCGCATACGCGTACCGCGCACGCGCACCGCGGATTCGAGGCCAGATACCGAAGGTGAAGAATGCTGTCGCATTAATAACACATTATAGTACCCGTGAGGTATGACAAAACTAATCGACGCTACCCTCCATCCCTGGAACACGTTGATACTCTTTTAAATAGCCGTAATTTGAACCTTCCGAAGACTCGAACTTGCTTCAAACTTTGATTGTGGCTACGGTACATGTTCCACTACCCGGGACTTCCAAAGAATTTGTGAAAGACGGATGTGAGGCAAACAATCAGGATAACAGATAACTGAAAGTGAGAAGGAAACAGAAAGGAGTACGCAGCACTGCATGAGTCACATGCTCGGAGGTCCAGACAGATAGGAGAGAGGGAGAGAGAGAAGCCTGGCAGTCCCTATTTATGAGCCGTGCTTTACTTTCTACCCAACACTCGGCCCGATTCGTCCGCCCAACGCGTCCATGTCTCACTACGGAGGTAAGCACTGTGGATTCTCAAAAAAACGTGTCCTGTAGTGAGCAACCGCAATCCTATTAATGTTCTACTGTTTTTGCAGTATTTGATAGCATATATCAATTATGAAGTGTTGTCATTGACGGTAAATAAAAACATTATTTCTGTCTTCCATCCTATGTCCCCCCGATGACAATATTTTATTTTATTAATTATTCTGGTTTATGAGTGTAGATAGATACATTGTGAATTAGGGGATGAGAGTTTAACGTCAATACGTTAGGAGATGGCCCCTAAAAAGGCAAATGAACTTTCTCATTTGAACACATCGTTGTTTGAACGTAATCTATTCACCGACGTGAATCACCCCTAGAGCTTGGGATCGTTAATATCAGGGATGGGCGGTATTTCAAGTACAAGTATCTGAAATACGTATTTCAAATACTTTGTGTATTTTGCATTTCTATATAATTACAAATTGGGTATTGTATTTGACGTGTGTATTTAAATACTAAAATGAGGGTATTTCAAATACAATTGTAATTAAATACAATTTTGTGGGCGAAAATACATCCCTCAAATTTATTGTCACGGTCCAGAGCAGGAAGAAAACTACGTTCTGCACCGAATGCAGTGTCTCTCAATCAATCACAAGCGTTTAGTGACTTTGTGATTTCGGTGCTAGTCCAGGGCAAGAATAGTGACGAAATCGACGTTCACAGGCAAACTGGCTAAATAAGTGCCTGTGACAACTTGTGATGCTTTCCAGCCTGATTTCCATCCATATTTTTGCCTGGAAGATTCTAAATGCGCGGGTCGTCCAGATTTTCGTAACTGGTGCGAGTAGCAACAATAAAAAATTCTCAAGCTAGTGCTGCGCGTCTTGGTCGTCTCGGTTCTTTGTTGGTCTATACCAAAATGTAATGAACAAAAAAAGCTGCTTGAAGCTCTGTACTTTTTTTCACCTATTACGTTCAAGCTGATTACATTTATTGTGATCATATCTCTATTACGTTATTATCGCACACTAACTCCCGAGAGTGCACGATTCAAAATTAAAATGAGATACCCAGAAAATGCAGATGCCCCGAAGTCGCTGACGCAAATTTCGAGGAATGTATTTGGAAAAGTATTTGGAGGAGACCAAATAAATTTGGTTGTATTTGTATCTTGTACTTAATTGCTTTTTTGGAAATGTAATTACATTTGTAATTAAATACATTTTTGACGAAGTATTTTGTATTTGTGTTTCGATACATATTTGCATGTATTTTGCCCATCCCTGGTTAATATATATGAGAAACTTTTAAATTACCTGTCGTGAAGTCCGGAGTGATACTCTGGGATACCTGTTTTCTTCCTGCTAAGTGTTTTGCGCATTGATAAGTGTTTGTCAAACTCAACAAACGTGTTGTTTCGGGTTATCACCATTTGTCGCTTGAAGTATTTTGGTCAAAAATAAGTAATACTAAAGGAACGACATATAAAAAAAAATGTTATTTCTAAAAAGCTTCTGGACTATTTATGGGTGCCTTTAAAAGCAATTCCAAACAATTTTTTGTAGATATGTTGGAGGCAACGAGAAATCCAGAGAAACTTTAATAAAGGCAGAATTGTTTGGTAAATTAAAAAAAAATAGCCTGAGCAAGAAATTTGTCAAAACTGTAGAGACTCTCTGAACAAACCCAAGATTGTATAAAAACAACTTAAAGTAACACTGACAGCCCCCAAAAAATTTTATTTTTTTTATTTTCAGGCGATTTATTATGGTGTCAGAAGACTACCCAATCAATATTTTGCTACAGTGTAAAGTATATTTTTAATAAAGTAAAAAAAACCAACTCCTCAAAACCGAAACTGATCTGGGTAGGAAGAAGAAATGTAGAAATATACGCGTTCTTGTTACACGTCCATGAAACGTGCTTCCACGAAATTCCGAGATAATAAGACAGTCAGTATTCTACCGGCAGGTGTCACGTGATTTTAGACAGCCTTTGAGAGGCGAGTGCCGGTAGAGTTTCGGGAAATTATTCTCTCGGCAGGTTTCACATGACGTCAGGCAGCCAATGGGATGGGACTGCCAGTAGAATTTCGGAAAAACTATTCTGCCCGCTGCCGGCAGAATAGACACTGCCTTATAAAAATTAGAGAAAAATTTATCTAAGTCCGGTCACTGAAGTTGAAGTAATTCACGCACTTCTGATATCGATCAACCGCAACATTTCTGATGCAGAGGAAATGTATTGATGTAAAAAGTCGCCATTTAGTACGTAACTTCATCCTATGCTTAAAACGGCGATTTTCTTCAAAGAATGCAAATAGAAGTAGTTGTCTTCCATAAAAAAAAAAAAAAAAAAAAAAGGCGATGGAAAAGAGATTGGAAGTTATAGACCTATTTCTATTGTTTCGGGGTTTGAGACCATCGTACGCATTGGAGTTGATAATTAGTGGCGAAAAAACATATACCGGATCTAAAAAAAGGACCGCTTCGAACCTTGGGAACGGGAATTTTCGAGAGTCTAGTAGTGCTACGATAGTACACCCGAGACAGATGGCATTTAATTATAATTTTCATTAAAACAGACCGATCTCACAAGCGAGCTCGGCCACGCCACCGCTGCCGCGATGCATCGAGGGAGCTTTATTATCTCTGCACGCGCGACAACCGCGCTGTGGGATCTGCGCGTGCAGAGTACGAGACAGCACGAGCCCTCTCGTGCACTACCGCCAAGCTTCTGTGGACTAAAGTTATGGCGGCGTCACGCATGCGGCGAATGTTTGGTGAGGTCGGTCTATTATCATACTTCACCTCACGTTCCTAAAATTATCTTGAATTAACAGGAGGAACGAGTTGGTCATTCTGTCAAATTAGCGTGAATGAATGAATTCTTCGTGTAACAGACGACAATTCATTTGCAGCTGTCACCTACAGGCCAGTTTGCCAGTGGGTGAACTGCTACAACAACAGCATTCCTTTCAACGCCGTACCAGGAGGCAACGACGGTGGTGAAACCATCTATATCGGCCGCGCTCTACAAGATGGCGACGTTGTGCCGGGAAAAGTGGTTCCATCTCACAGCTGTTGCTACGTGTCCTACAGCGGTGCCGAGCACTGTCATCGGCAGTACCAGGTACGCGCGAAACGGAATTAACGTAATGTTATTAACGCGATAAGTGGCGTGCTTCTGCAGGGATGCTCACGAAAGCCGTGTTAAACCGCTGAACACTGAATAGGGAGTTTTCGTAGACCGCGTTTCCCCCTCCGCTAAGCCCTCCGAAACGAAGAAGTTGCTATTGCGCCTGCGCGTCGATAGCCTTGACTGTAGAGTGCCGGGTATGGTAGCGGGTTGCGGAGGGCGTTGCGGGACGGCGAAAATGATTTACGATAACTCCCTAATATCGCTGCAAACTCGAGAGGGTTCATACCATGTTACGACTTATGGCATTCAAAAGGCACTGCGCTCGGGTCGCGTGGTGATTAAAACACTCTGATCTGCCCGTTCAGCTTTCAAAACGCAAAGGTGCGCCTATTGGAACATTTAAAAAAATTGTAAGGTCCGTTTTCTGGTAGGAAAACTGAACATGCCAATTGACAGCATGCATGAACAGGTGCCTCACTGTCGTGAAGTCGAACTGGAAAAGCGTTTAATGAAAAAAAAGCGATAGGCAATTAGGCAACTTTCTGCAGCCTTCTAAACTCCCTTATACTCCCTTATAAAAGAAAAAAAAGAAACATTACAAAACTTATCAATATACCTTCGACGTTATCAATTCGTTCCGTATCAAACCAATAATCGAACTCGTCAGTGCTTCTGACTTCTTTACAAAAAAATAAAAAAACAAACAGAGACAGCATTTTATAAGCTTTAGAAAATGTGTGTATCCCAGTTCAATTTGTATTAAGAGTTACACCCAACTATCTTACTATATTTATACATCAAAGGCGTATCTCTTGCATGTGACAGATAATAATAGTAGTTGTAGTACTGATTCAAATAGTTGAGGTCGACGTAGGAGTTGTAACAGAAGTAGCTGTCGTAGCGGTAGAAATAGTAGCAATAGTAAAAAATTACATCAGAAATAGTAGTAACAGCGATAGACGTATTGCATACCTCGTATACGATGTAGGAGCATTAGAGGTAATGGAGTTAGTCGTAGTAGTAGTAGTAGTAGTAGTAGTAGTAGTAGTAGTAGTAGTAGTAGCAGCAGCATTAGGGGTAGTGATGGTGGTAGTAGTTGTTTTTTTTTTTATTATAGTAGTAGAAATAGTACACTTACTAGTAGTAGCCCAAATAAGAACAAATAACAGTAAGTAGCATACCACCAGGCTACAGGCTTCTGGAGTCACCTGTGTGGAGAGTCATGTGGCCTGGTTCTGATAAAAGCAGCTGTCGTATAGAGGACAAGGTAATGATGATAAGGTGCGGCAAAGGGTGACTCACCACTGACCATATAATGATGCTTAACTGTCATCTCATGGTTTCTTACTCTATCGGCTTGAAGTACTTGGGTGCTACCTACATGCAAACTGTGGGATTTTTTGTGTTTTTTGGGCGAAACTCTCTTCCCATTGTCGTCCCCTCCACAGACGCTGGTCTCGGAAGGCAGCCAGTTCGACTGGGTGCCCGCGTCTGATGGACGCCTGGCGAACGGCGCAGTCCAAGGCGGCTCCTGTTCCTCGGGAGAGCCCCTCTACATCGGTCGGACATTCCACGAGGGCACCCTGACCATTGGGAAAGTCCATCCGTCCCACGGTTGCCTCTACATCCCCTACGGAGGAGAGGAGCACCGGTACAGCGACTACGAAGTACTCGTCTGCAAGTCCGTTAACTTTTGAACGCAGAAAAACCAAAATGTCAAGAAGGCGGCTAGTTTGTGTGGCTTTGATGTGATAACACAAAATACGTTGATTGGAACTGGCGAGTAAATGATCTTTCGGAAGATAATTGCTTCGCGCGATTAAATTATTTATTTAGTTTGGTCCTTCGTATTCAATAAATTAAATGTTGGTCTACGTGCTGTCAATCTCTGTGCCTTTCTTTGGTCTCACCATGCACGAATAGCAGTAGCGTAAGTACCTAGGGTTCGACACGGAAAGAGGGGGGGGGGGGGGGGGGGGGGGGCGGGTTGACGAGATCGAACGAAGGGCACCGCGGGCCGAATGTTCTCCTCCCAAACGGCTAGTGCCACGGCCGCTCGATCCCCTCGTGCCGAAATACGGAGTCCGCTCGGGCGTCAAAGCCTATAGGAACACTGTAGCCCAGGTATACCAGGGCTACAGTGGCCTAGAGAGGGGTAATTGGTCCACTCAGCCGCGAAACTGTCCTAGGCATGGGGACCCGCAAACGTGGAAAAAACAGAGGATAGCGGTGGCGCTGTAGTCGACTTTCCCTGAACAATCTCGCTGGCCGTGAACTGCCAGCGTGTTGCGGTCGCTCCGAGTTAGCGGCATTTCATTTCATTTAGGGAACATCCGCTTTTTGAAGCAGCCAACATTTGGCACATACACAATTATGAAGCCTAAGATGAGGAATTAAAACAAAAACGGTCAAGGCAAGCGCAGCTGGGGGTGTATTGACCAGAAAACGCGAATAAATACACATTCCAAAAAAGGGTTTAAAAAAAAAAAAAAAAGAAACGTGCCAAACTTTAGAGTGATTACAGGCCCAAGCCCGGCTGGTTAATCCCCTCCAAGGTTCACTACATCACTTAAAAAAATAGGCACGCAAGGGCCCAAAAAGGAAACATGCCCCAAGAATAACAGAGGTCATTTCTTCTTCCTACAATATTTTCTAAACCTACATCATTACCAACGCGCTCACTAACAAGTGGAATACGCTTAACAACAAACCAGAAGTCAGGGCAATAAAGAGAGACAGATAAGCTTCAGCGAATATGCTTCCTGTAAAGCGGAACGCACACCAATTACACGGTTCAATATGTTTGGCAAGGCACTTCCGCAACGCAAACGTGTATGTTTTGATCTCTACCCGGAAGATCAGACCACTTTTGCTCCTGATTCTCTAGGCAGATTGGGTGATCTGAGGGATTCGTCTTTCCAGGTTGAGAAGAGAAATATTACGTGGGTATCATATCGTTGGAAGGGGAACGGGAAGACAAGGCCATGGCCGTGCTGCAGGCGGACTTAACTGGTTATTGTGTACGATTTCATTTGGAAAGCGATACAGTTAATGGACAGCGATAAAGGATTGGGCTCGTCTTATGGAAAGCATGCTAGGAAAATTTGATCTAGGCGCTGCGTCCACTCAGGGCTCGTCAAAGTTGGTGTCGGTCATGCATAGGCAATGCACTAAAACATTCTTGTATTCATTGTGTCAGAGGTGTACATAGCAATCAGACGAGCGATCGTAATGTCAGCTGGCTAGAGTTTGAAGTTCAATTACAAAAGCCTTCAAAGTGTCTTAAAATTAAATCTTCTGCTTCCTTGCGTCTTTGGTTCCTCGCGTAGATTAAAAAAAAAAAAAAAAAGTTTGCTGTATTTTTTTTTTAGCATTGTTTAATAAATGGATTTCCGGATGAGTTAGATTACGTCGTTTTACTTCGAACATAAACAGGGATGGAACCAAAATGTGAGGTTTCTTTCACCGGACTGCGTTCCGGGGTTGTCTACAAGATTCCGGCCAATAGGCATGTGACATGTTCACGTATTATGACCGCCTCAAGGAAAAAAAACAGGAATGTTAAGAAATTTGAGTCTTGGTTGCACACTTGCAGATCTAGGTAATTTAGATTGCCCTCTTTAGAAAGCAAAGTAAATTGTTGTGTGCATGTTTATACAGCCGGAAGTTATAGTCTACCTTAGTGGGCGTCTGGTGTCTCAGCTGTAGATGAGCAATTTAGCCAGTGCGGTACAACCGCTAGCCTGGGGTCTTTAACGTGCACCACGCAGTAGTGATGCACGACCGCACGCCGGTACGATGCTCATCCAGATCGAAACGGGCAGGGGTGAGGATTGAACCTCATCATAGGTACAAAAAGCCCGACCCCGTCAACCTCTCGCCCGCCCGTTGCTTTGGGCTCTGTTCCCCTCCAGCGGATTCAGAGAATTACTCTGCTGGGGGTGAGTTTCGACAACCATTTGAGCTTCGTAGGCCACGTAGGCCACCATGGCAAAGGCGCGTTGGCTTTGTAACACATGTCACGCGTGGCAAGCCACCGAACGCGTTCCGACACCTCTACACGGGATTAGTGTTACCCCACCTAGAGTCTTGCTCACCTGTTTGGAGTCCCTTCCAGAAATCCCTCGAACAAGCCCTGGAGAGTGTGCAGCGCAGGGCTGCTTACACGCTCTACAGGCGCAGTGCCCCTCGTTCCGCGCTTTCATCCTACAGGGAAATATCTACGACAGCCCTCCTACAGGGAGCTAACTCAAGCAGCCTTGCACACAGATGAGATGTGGCTTCCATCCGTCTCTTCTGCAACCTGATGGGAACCTCAATGAAGCCCTCGGACGCTCCTCGCTTCAACGCCCGCACCGGAATTAATGATGCAGCCTCTCCTGGCTAACGTCCCAAAAAACATCAAGGGACTTTACTCCTGGCATGTACGCTACGCCACCTCGAGTCCTGTTTGATGCGTGCAGCCAGGAATTGGTGTTTTCTGTCCCTGAGCTGACTGTAGACTTTCCCGTTGACCCCGAAGACATTATATATAGGCTCTCTGCCGGCAGGCCTCAAGTTTGTTCCCATATAGACTTCTACGCTATCTATCCTCCCCACCCCCTCCCCCCGTCTGTTTGTATTCATCCACCAGGGATTTTCACACCATTACGTCATTGCCACCTGTACAAATTCATGACTGTTCAACCTTGTATTGTGCGGCGTCGCGGACCTCCACGGTGTGGGCCATCGGCCTTTCTGCGGCGTCGCGGCTGTCCTGAGCCGGAAGAAATATTATTATTAATATTAATAGCGCGAGCTTTCGCTCCACGTGCTCCGAGCTTTCGCTCCACGTGCTCCGAGCTGGTGTGCGCTAGCCCACTCGGCCACCAATCACCTCCCCCCCCCCCCCCCCCCTTGGAAAGACACTCCGTCTTTCTGCAAAACATTTTCTTTTTTCTTCATTTTTTTTCAGTGCCTTTTTACTGCTTTGATTTCCAGGTATAAAGGGACCATGAAATTAATTTTAGGCTGGGATCAATGATTTTACATTGAGACTTTAATCATCGCATATCGTTTCGTGGGCCGAAAGGAAGAGGGTAGAAAGTAATAAGTCAGCTTTTGGTTACGAACATTTAAAGATATAGTGAACTATTTCGTACCTTCTCCCCTTTGAATGCACTCCGTCTTTTCGATATGACACATCCGCTATGCCCAAAGCACGTCAGCGGTACCCGAAGCACGTCAGCTGAGCCCAGCTTACGCATTGGACACGAGAACTGCTTCACTCGGACGTATGCGCTCGTCAACAATCAAACCGTCAACAAATATTTGGATTCGCATACGTGGCCAATGAGTGCCCTGACGGAACTTATCATCACTTGCGAATGATGCGCTTAAAAAGTACGGCTAACGCTTGAAGTCATCGCAAAGGTGCCCAAGCATATCACTACCAGGTGATTTCTCAATTCGCTTTTGAGTTGAGGATTAGAGCTAAGGAGGAAGAAGATGAAAAATCATTTCATGATTCCTTTAAGCGGATTACAATAAGAATAGGGATGTAAAAGGGGTGGGCGGGATTACGTGAATGGGTTCCTCTGTTAAATGTTTGAGGATGTCATCTTCATCTGGGTCGTTGGGTGTCCATTTCCTGTCTCAGCGGTGCTCGTGGTTACAGTGTACTTAGCATGTGTGCGCTCGCAACGGCGGAAGGTGCTACCGCGCCACTTAACCAATTAGAGAACCACAAGCAGCAGTAAAGCACGGGAATACTGTAAACGACACATTTTTCGATGGCTCAATATTTCGCGATTTAAGACAAAGTTGAGGTTTTGGAATAATTCGCGGGTTCTAATTTTCGCGCCGCGGTGGGATTTCAATATACACGTTTGCAAGTCCGGCTTCAGGGCGCTGCCATCTTGCTTGACTGGGGTGGGCTTGGACGAGTCATAATCTGATTACGAAGCCTTGCTAAGGCGCCGTGATCAGATTATGGCCGCGCCAAACAGCGCACCCCACTGAGGAAGATGGCGGCGCCCTGAGATCGGACTTGTGTTTACATTTTACCGGAATTGTTCGCGGGACCTGTTTGTCACAAATTGCAGGCGTTTCGCGAAATTCGCGAAAATTAGGTCCTCGCAAAAATTAAGTCGTTTACAGTAATGTGCAGTTTCATAATGCTCTTCAAACATATGATTTCAGAAATATTATGTTAAAATATATAAATAAAACGGCGGCCGTCGCATAGAGCTTAACATACGGAGCGGTGCTGGCGTGGCCGGAGAACTTCAGGGGATCAGGGGAAGGTGGCGGTCTGTGTAAAGCCCGTCTGTGTTGGCGGTGGCGCCCTCTACTAGCATTCACAGAAAGAGTAACCTCTCCGGCCAGCACCTGAACTCACAACTCCAGCCTCGTTCGATCTACCTGCACCTCCTGCACCAGTGCGGAGAAGTGTGGGGATCTCTGACGGCAGACCTCAAGTGTGTTCCCATAGATCTCTACGCTCCCTATCCTCCCCCCCCCCCAAACCGGTCTGTTTGTATTCATGATCATCATCATCACCACCATTACGTTATTGCCATCTGTAGAAATTCATGACTGTTCAACCTTGTATTGTGCGGCGTCGCAGACCTCTATGGTATGGGCCATCGGAATTTCTGTGGCGTCGCGGCTGTCCTGAGCCGGAATAAATATAATAATTATTATTATTATCAATACACATACCGGAAGTACACTGCCTTGTACTTTTCTGCACCGGTGCAGGAGGTGCAGGATAATCGAACGCAGCTACTGTACCAGGGCACAGACCAGGGGGCAACTCTAGACGACAACCAGCGCTAGGGGCGCTCTCTACTGCAGTGCTTGCCAAACTCTTCAACCCATGCTACCCACCAAA